GTGCGGCCGTAGGATCTTGTCGTGGCCGTGCTGGTTGGCTGTTGCCACCGAAAGTCGGAAGTCTTAGCCAGCGTCGCATTTTGCTTGTAGTGCGTCTAAGCTGTTGCTGGCTGTGGGTGTGCTGTTGTGTCCTCCTCCTCCTCCTTATTCCCCCCTTGCTCCACCCCCCTATGTTCTCAGCCCCTTCTCGTCTCATCCTCCTCCACCTCCTTCTTCCTCCTCGTCCTCGTTACGCTTCCACCTCCTCCCATGTCCCGTGCATCACAAAATGACCTTTACTCACGCAGCACAAGCATTCATAACATACGCGAACAACGAGCATTCAGAACATACACGAAGCAACGATATCGATAGTTTGCATCAAGCAAAAGCGCCTAGACTGCACAACAAGAACATACTTCAAGACTACACATCAGCAACACGCATCAAGAACAGTCATCAACAACAAGCGTCAATGTCGCACAGCGGCAACACACTTATCAATCAACACAGCAAGATCGCACACATCCAAGCAGTGAATCACAAACAGACACAAGTACTATACATCGACTACACGTATCGCGAACATACTCCAATAGCGTAGAATTGCAGACACCAGTAACCGACACCAAAGGCACACAGTAAACGAAGACATTAGGCACGTACACCAATAGCATACTTTCAAACACATGCATCATCAACAAATACTACGAACAACCATCAGCACAGACACCAATAACGTACGCAATAACAAAACACAATTCCGCACGTCAAGGAAACACCTCCATAACATGCCCCCATAAGAGACATCGATCATATACACACCCATAGTCTACATCCACAACGTAGATCAACGACGTAATTACACTGGGAACGCACACCTTGTTGTCTCAACTCCTCGCAAGGGACCGCTCGACGCAAACTAAGAACATGAGTGCTCAAATTAATAAAATATTGTAGGGGCTCGCTTCTGGAATCCTGCGGCTCTGAAGATTGACCAACTTGCAACAACACAGGCGACGGTGCGTGTGAGCGGATTTCCCGATTCGATTCTTCTTTCCTGCTCCTCTGGGCCGCCGCGATCATCGCCACTTGCTGCGTTCCCCCTTCCACTACAGCCTTGTCGTCAACAATGGTGGGGCGGCGTGAGGAATGGGGGCACCGTGGTGCGGCTCAAGTGCTACCGTCCTCCTCCTCCTCCTCCTCCTCCTCCTCCACCCTCCCCCCTTCCGCACCCTCTCCTCCCTCTCGTCCTTCTCCTCCTTCTTCCCCTCCCCGTCCATCTCCCATTCCCCCCTCCTCGGAAGACGGGGGTACCCACCAACAGACTAGACTGGCCGAGCGACGCACGGTCGACAACGCGGCTTCTGCCAGAGCGACTCTGGCCGGTCCTCTCCGGGCACGGTTGCCTCCGGTCTGCCATCGCCGCCGCGCCGCCGCCGCGCACGCGCGGGCGGGCGCCAGCGGGCCCCGCGGCGGCCCGCTCGCGGCCCCTGCAGCCGGCAACCAACGGCGGCAGCGCGTAGGGGTCGTCGTCGCCGACGCTATCGCCGTCGTCGTCCGCGGGGGAGGAGGAGGAGGAGGAGGAGGAGGAGGAGAAAGAGGAGGAGGAGGAGGAGGAGGCCCAGGGTAAACACAACATGCATAAACACTGCTGCAACGCAACCATCCGTCCCAAGTTCTCTTCATGAGGCCCTACAAGATTCTTTTTCACGGCGGGAACTGCCCCCTTGAAAGAGGAGCGGCCCATGGTCCTGCAATTCAGGCGAAAGCCCCGCTTTGAAAAGGAGCCGCCACCCGCGCTTCTGCTTATGAGAGCAGCGACGAGGTAGGATCAGAAAGTCCGGGGCAATGTCCAACGAGAGCCCCATGCTTGCCAGCGTGGGCCCCAAACAATGAGCTTGGGCGCCCTCAGCGTGTAAGCCATGTTGTGCTGCATGCAGTTTGGTGCAAGCAGTGTGTGTTGTGGTGCGGACAGTGCGGTGCAAGCGGGGTGGTGCAAGCCATGTGTGCTGCAAGCTGTGTTTTGAAGACCACGTGGTGCAAGAGAAGCAGTGCAACCTGCGTCGTGCAGGCTGTGGCTTGCACGTGATGGAACGCAAGCAGCGCGAGGCGCCCTCGAGGCGCCTACGGCCGCCGCGCAGGCGAAACCTCGGCTGGATCCACACAGCCCACGAGGCGCCCACGGCAGCCTGCCGAGCAAGACCTCGGCATACTCGCTCAGCGCACGCGGCGCCCACGAGGCGCCCACGGCCGCCTACCGAGCACCAGCCTTGGCCCACGCACGGGTCACCCACGAGGCGCCCACGGCCGCCCACCAGACGACACCTCGGCAGCACCAGCCCACGCACGGGGCGCCCACGAGGCGCCCATGGCCGCCCACTAGGCGAAACCTCGGCAGACACAGCCAGCGCACGGGGCGCCACGAGGCGCTAACGGCCGCCCACCAGGCGAAACCTCAGCAAACCCATCCAATGCAAGGAAAGTAAGTAAGAACCCTCGTAAATGCAAGCCCTGATTGAGAAATACCCCAGGAACTTACAGGCGAGAGCCCCGAGTTGAAAAGGAATCGTCCTCTGGCCGTGCAATTGTTGCACATAAGCAGCACAGCGCCGCCAACAACCTCAGCACCACACCGGGCCGGGACAAGGCAGCAACAGTGAAGCAATTGTTCATGCACTTGGAGACGACCGACTGAGCAGCGCCACAGATGTTCCAATGTGTGCGTCGGAGGCTGCGCCGACACGGCAGATGCCTCCGCAGCATTCTGTGGTGTCTCTGGATGCCGCTAGCTCTCTGCACAGACGTGCATCTGGGCTCTGTGAGCCCTACCAATGTGTGTGTGTGATCACGCGAGCACCCTACATGCAAATTGGCAGGCCTAGACCGGCAGGAACAACACGGGAAGGAGAGGAACGGGTGGGAGGAGCTGGAGCGCCAGCCTGCAGCTACGGGTGTTGGGCTGCGAGGCTACGCGAAGTCGTGCGGGAGCTTTCGGCAGTGCAGTCGGGCGGGCTGCTGGGCAAGGAGGTCAGTGTCGGACCTCCAGATTGTGCTGTTGCGGGATCCCATCTTAGAGTGGGAGTCGGATCCCGAGGACACCAAGTGCGCGGCTCACGAGGTGTTGCACTTACCAAGAACGAGACAACATCTACGAACTCAGTAAAGGTAAGTACCGCGATCGAGATCGCGAGGATTTGGTGCTGTTTCTCAAGGAGGACGGGAAGAAGTCGAACGTAAAAGGGGAGCCTCTTAGTCGCGAACCTCCGCTAGCAGCGCAACAACGCATAATACCAGGACAATAAGGGAAACAAGAAGTGTGCCCGTGTAGGCTGCAACACCGTGGGGCGGGTCCTACGCGATGGAGCGCTTCCATGCCTGAGCTACGACACCGCGGAAGAACGTGACCACCAGTCGAAGCCGCACGTGGCCGTGCAGGGTGTGCAGGAGGAGCGTCCGAGCGAGTGAGCGAGCGAACCACTAACTAATGCGGAGAATTTTCTCCGGCCTATCTAAGGCTAGGCGGGCGAGGCCGTGGCCTCTGCATATACTGTCTTGTATGGAAAACATTCAAGTGTGCTGCGAGACAAAGAGTTTAGTGAGATGTGGAGGAAGGAGAGGGAAGCCTTGTAGTCGGCTTCCTCGTGCGCGGGTGGTGCTGTACAGTTATGTGCATGATCGTTCGTGGATGTGCTTTACTTCAACTATTGGCGTCTGGGGGCAGCATGGAAACAGGCCGAGGAAGCGAGGCGCTCTCCCCATTCCCGGGCATCGAGCGTGACTTCTGTGCATCGTGAGGCGAAGGGCGACCAAGAGAGGAGGACGAGGTCACCTACAACGCCAGGTCCAGCCTCAGGCGTCAGGTTCGAGGAGTCGAAGCCCGCGGTGCAAGATGCGGGCATTGGATAATGAGCCCTAGGATAAGGAAGCCATGGTCTGAAAGCTGGTGGAACACCAATTGAGGCTTGACCATGGATGTCACCGCCGCTCTCATCAGATAAGAAATCCCCCCGGGTCTGAAGCCTCCTGGGCACATTCCTTCACGATCGCCCCCGCCGTACCCCGAGGTCCCGCGGTGGGGTCCCCGAGCTGTCCCGAGCTGAGCTGGGTATGCTGGCCAGTGAGGCTGCGGTGGACGCTTGAAGGAAACGATGGCCCACGGCCTGGGGTATCGAATTTCTGAAGGCCAGCTCCTGGGGGGGGCCACCCCTTAGATATGACCGAGGGCATCCAGCTCACCGGGGGGCTCAAAGACTTGGGTGATTCCTGCGACACGATGGGCGAGTCTCTGGCAGCCTTCAGGGCGGAGCGCGGGGGCTTCGTGGAGCTCGAGGAGTTGCAGAGCCTGAGGCGCCTGGAGTTCATCGCGAAGAAGCAGCGAGACGTGAGTCAGGCAGTTTCGTGCGACGAGAGCTGGATAGCCTGCTGTGGGTGGCATCCGCTCGGGCAAGAAGGGCCAGCAGGCCCTTGCGAGGGCCACCGAACAGGGTCGACTCGTCGCCCAGGGACGGCCCAGGGAACGATAGACTCCAATCCCCGACTTCAACTTAGTCAGAACCCGCTTCGGTCCGATAGCGAACTCCCCTCCTCATCCTCTTGCTCCTGCTCCTGGTCCTGGTCTTCCTCCTCCTCCTCCTCCTCCTCCTCTTCTGCGGCGCCGCCGAACATCCTGTACATCCCTGGCAGGGACTGGGAAGCAGGAGGCGCGGGGCCGATCCGAGCCCCCCCTGCCCCCGCCAAGGAGGGTCCGAGCACGAACTGCTGCCGCATGGACCTCCCGCTGCCCTTCTCCTCTCATGTGGGCGGCGAAGAAGGGGTCCCACGCGCGAGGACACCACAGCCTCACGCGATGGCCTGTGCAGGCGACCACAGCGGCATGCTGCGTGGAATAGAAAGCGATTCACGCGCGTCCTTACGCGGGCAACTTACGCGCACATGTGGGCGTTGCCAGTGCCTTTGTTACGCCGCTCGCGTGTATCCTGTCCCGTCCGCCCCCCCTCTTGCCCTCCGCCAGGGCGGTCCTACTCCCAGGGAGCAGGTCCCGGAAGACCCTCTCCGCCGCCGCGACCTCGCCCTTCTCCGCCAACTGGTTGAGTCTCGCGAGCAGGGTCTCCCTCTGGCGCGGGCGCGGTTTTCGGGAGGAGCTCCCCCTAATCCTTCTTCCCCGTATCCTTCCCTCGCGGCAGCTTGCTTAGAGGACTAGAAAGCAATGCAGTGGTGGAAGGCCCCTGGGCCGAACAGGCACGGATGGTGTCCTTACAACCATGATTTCCTGCAGTGACTGCGCCTCTTCCCCTCCATGCTCCCCCCTCCTACGCCTGCAACCATGCTGGCTCGAGCCGACCAGCAATAACACAGAGGCTGGCCGACTGATGCACAATTAATGCGCCTCGCAGAGCCTCTGGGAGAGCGCCATGTTCAAGTGCAAGCCGTAACTTGCTGATGTGCGCTCACGTCTGGGCCTATGTCAGGTTTCTGCCTTGACAACGTGAGCCCTGATTTCTGTCACTCCACGAACATGTCAACCTTGAATGATCTCCTCTGCCTGGGGCGTCCTGAAGCTCCTCACCTGTCGCATGGATTTCGTGTCGTGGGTTATTTTCTGTGGGCCCTAGGGCTCGAAACGGGCTCCCATAGGGCGTTCAACCCTGAACTTCCGCGCTAGCGTCGCCGACACGTCGAGGCGGCGCAAACTGGCCATCTTCGCTGAACTGGTCGGGCCTAGTTGCGATCGCGCAGTGAACATAAGCTTGGATATGCTGCACGCAGTCGTGTCGCCGTCCAGGGCCTTACTATCACACCAGGAGTTGACACACATCGACTTGTTGGGACGCAATGCCACGATCAAATAGGCGGCAGCAAACCTGGACCTAGCCTTAGCCATTATCAGCGAACTTCAAGCAGCACAGAGGGGACCCGAGCAAATCGAGGCACGCCAAGGATTCAGAGCTGGACCGAAGTGCTGGAACATAACATCTTGAAGCTCGGAGAACCGTAGATAACTGGCCAATACTTATGTCAATATTCAAACATCATGCAAGACATCTGCAGGCACATCAATGAAGCTGACCTTGCCCCATAGTCAGGCTGCAAGCGCTTCCGAAGAATGCGTTGACGATTTCACCTGCTGTCCCAATGATGCGGATGGAGTCCTTGAGCCCATCACAACATTGACTAACCAATCATATCTCGGTGCCACCTGAGATGCTTCACGTGCGTACGGCTTACGACGACAACACGCGGGAAAAAAAGATCCCCTGCAAACGATCTCGAAGCCGGGATGAAAGTGGGGAACACATTACTGTTCTCCTGGCGGGAGGAGGAGGAGGACTGAGGAGGAGGAGGAGGAGGAGGAAAAAGGATGAGGGGGAGGAGGAAGACCAATGTAAACCCAAAGCCCATGAACGATGTTGAATACACCCTCCCTCCAAGATGCCTCTTCATAAACCCCTACATGGGGCCATTTCCACTGAGGGAACTGCCCCGTTGGGGGACAACCGTGTGAACATCTTGAAGCGTGCCAAACAACCTTTCTAAGGATTTCAACGCAACAATATAACCTGACTGATACGTCTTGGCACTCCTGAGTCGTGCCAGAACACCATTCCTGGGACTCCAACACAACGAATCAAAATAACTGTTGTGCCCTGACAATCCTGACCCGTTCCAAAACACCCTCTCTGGTACGCTAACCATGAGAAGCAATGAAACTCTTGCAGAAATGTGCAACGAATGTGCGACGCTAAGACGAGAACCACATGTTGAAAAGGAACCACCCTGAACCCGAGAAGCTCTTACACTTGTTGTGAAACGAATGTGCGCGGAGCCATGGCGAGAGCCGCATTTTGAAAGCGACCCGCCCTGAATACGTGAAGCTCTGGGAAATCCCACCAGCCCTCTGGACGTAGGTGGTCTAGAGAGCTTTCTCTTCCAGCCTCCTTCTTCCCATTCGGGCAGGGGTTTGCCCCTCCCCCATACCCCCTTTCCCGTGGACTTGGATGGGGGGGGGTCGCGACGCGTTGGGGCGTCCAAGATGGCCCAACACGGCTCAGAGAGCCCAGAATTACCTCCAAGGTGGCTCGAGATAGACCAAGATGCCCCAAGATGGCTCCCCAGCTGCTCCAAGAGGCCCCAAGAACGCTCCAAGACGTCACCAGGTGGCCACGGAACCTCTCCAGGAGGCCGCTAAGAGGCCCAAACCATTTCGAAACCTAAAGAAAGTCAGTGTTGTTTGCTTTCTCGCCTTTTCGCTTCCGATGGCCTTCCGAAGCACCAGGGCAGCTCCAAGAGGGCCCATGAGGGCCCCAAGACAAGCCCAAGAGAGCCCCTCAGGCGGCCCCAAGAGCGCCCGAGAACGCTCCAAGAGCGCCCCAAGAGGGGCCCAAGAGGCGATGTCTGAAGTTCCCGAGGGGGTGGCCGTAATTAGAGTTCCCGCTTTTACCTAACAGCGAAGACTGATAGGTTTCTAGTGGGGTCAAAAAAGAACATCATGACTCCTCAGGGGGGTCGGGGCGGGACCTGGGGCGGGACCCGGCGCGGCTGCCGTCGAAGCCCAAATCGCCTAGGACATCCTCGCAATCGCTCTTGGCGCTGCTAGAACTCCATTCCCGGCGTACATTTTGGATGCCCGGAACCAACTGTAGGTCACTTCGTGCTCTTCGACTTCCCAGAACTCCACTCCCGGCGTACATTTTGGGTGCCCGGAGCCAACTGTAGGCCACTTCGTGGTCTTCGAGTTCCCAGAACTCCATACCCGGGCCACATTTTGGATGCCCGGAGCCAACTGTAGGCCACTTCGTGGTCTTCGAGTTTCCAGAACTCCATTCCCGGGCCACATTTTGGATGCCCGGAGCCAACTGTAGGCCACTTCGTGGCCTTCGAATTCCCAGAACTCCACTCCCGGGCCACATTTTGGATGTCCGGAGCCAACTGTAAGCCACTTCGTCTTCTTCGAGCTCCCAAAACTCCACTCCCCGGGTACATTTTGCTTACTGGATGTCTCCGTCAGATCTCTCGCCACCCGATTCCCGGTTTGTTCTGCGTCGTCATCGTGCAGGGCAAGACGGCGGACCCAGGCGTCATCGTGCACTGGACGTTTCCGCCAGAATCTAATACTTGTAATAGCAGTAGTAGGAGGAGGCTGAGGCAGGCTGATGCTGAGGCAGGCTGAGGCTGAGGCTGAGGCTGAGGCTGAGGCAGGCCGAGGCTGAGGCCGAGGCCGACGGCAGACTGAGGCTGAGGCTGAAGCAGGCTGAGGCTGAGGCAGAGGCAGGCTGAGGTTGAGGCTGATGCAGGCTGATGCTGAGGCAGACTGAGGCTGAGGCTGAGGCTGATGCAGGGTGAGGCTGAGGCAGGCTGAGGCTGAGGCCGAGGCTGAAGGCAGACTGAGGCTGAGGTTGAAGCAGGCTGGGGCTGAGGCTGAGGCAGGCTGAGGCTGAGGCTGAGGCAGACTTAAGCTGAGGCTGTGACTGCGACTGCCGTTGCCGCTGCGACTGTCATCGCGAATGCGACTACGACTGCGAGAACAGCAGAATTCTACAACTGGGTTCTCATTTGAATCTTAAGGGGAATGCTTCCAAATATGTTCCTACACATCGCTGTTAGGTTGCTTTGCCGGGATAATTTAAATCGGTCTCCTCCAAGATGGGCCCAAGATCGCTCCCAAGGCTCCCAAGAGCGCCTCTAGAGGGCCCCAAGAGGCTTCCAAGAAGGCTCCATGAGGGACCCTTCCTCTGTGCGCTGCCCACTTTCCTGATCGAGGCAACTCCTCTGGGTATCGTCTCTGGATGGGCTGGCGGAGTTACTTCTTTTGGTCGCAGCCTCAAGCGAAGGCGCAGGCGGCGTCAAGGGTCGACCCGGGGCTACGGGCGGAACCTAATTACCCAGCGAGCGCACTCGCGGCTGCCAAAGCTGCCGCCGAGGGGCAAGAACTGGCTGGTGGAGTAACGTTTCAGTCAGCGGCCGCGGGCGAGCGCGCCGGCGGCGGGTCCAGTCAAAACGGGGCACGCAGCGACGAATTAAACTAAAGCAGCGGAAGGCGGCCACACCTAGAACGGCTAACCGGGCCTCACGCAGCAGCTCAGCGGCGGACCGGCGAGTGGAGGGGGCAGCTAAAACTGAGTCGTACTGCCAGCGTGCAGGTATGCATGGCGTCGGAAGTACCTAGAAGTCGGAACGACGACCAGGGTCAGAAGCCGAGGGATTAATGCATGGGCGCGAACCCCGGACAACTGCGTGAGTACCAGGGTGGCCGCAGCCAGAAGGACCGACGCTCAAGGTCGAATTGATGCCGGAAAGGCGAGAGCGTTGGCAGGCTGCGAGAATCCAGGGTGGCCGAAGCCGCACAGTCCCATGGCAGCAGAACGCGCGAGTGCGAGAAGCAGCAAAGCTGCCGCGCAGCCAAAATGGCGCGGGTCACCACGGAGCAGTGCGTGAAGTGGCGCCAGGATGGCGCTCACCAAGAGCCCTGAACAGGGTGGCGAGCCCGAAGTCAGCGCGCCGAAGGTGGCGACAGGCGAGCAGCGGCACCACGGGGAAGACCCGGGCCTGAGACCAGGGAAACGACCGCAGCGTGGTAGGGGCACAAAAGCCAGAGCGGTGTCAGGCGCGGCCGAGGGCCCCGTGGAGGGGGAGAGAAACCGCGACTTGAGCGGAAAAGCGAAAACCAATACGGTGACACGGCGTGGGACGACGCCGCCGACCGTCGGGGAGAGCGGAGGCCAAGCCGAGGAGGGGAACGCCCCGACCCGGCGGGCCGCGCGGCAGCGCGGGATATCACGGCCCGGGGGTGAAAACACTTACAGCGGGCCGGAGGCCGATAGTGGGCAGGTGGACCACGGCCCCAGCGGTAGCCCACGAGTCGGCATTGTCAGCGCGCCACTGCTCAAGTTCCCAAGGACGGGGAGCAGTGGGGGCTGGGCAGGGAGAGGCACCAGGGAAGGAGCACTGCCTGCAAGTCAACCGGCGACCGCAGCAGGGACTGCAGCGGACACGTCTAGGGCGAAACAAATGGGGGGGGCAAGTGGACCACGGCCCCGGCGGAGACCCACGAGTCAGTGCGGTCAGCAGTCCGTTGTCCCTGTCCCGAGGGCTAGGATCAACGGGGGCTGGGCAAGCAGTGGCACCAGGGAAGGAGCACTGCCTGCCAGTCGGACGTCGGCCACAACGAATGCTGCGTGAGGCGCGTCTCGGGCGATGCAAGCGGGGGCCGCCATCAGAGGTCCCCGCCCAGACCCCTGAACATACACAGGTCGGAGGTCCAACCCGGGGATGGCGAGCGACCACTGCGAGCTGTATGAAAGAGGTGCCGAAACCTTTGGCCTAACGGGCCCCATTTTAGATGATAGCGATAATAACGAACCGCGTTCCTTCTTGGCCTAACGGGCCCTCCTTTAACTGAAGAATCGAAGGCGCAGCCGCGGCGAGCCCGGCAGGCCTGAGATCTGAACGTCTGAAGATAGCTGTGGTCGGTTGCCCACTGGGGCGTCAGGTCGGCGCATGGTCAGGTGCGTCGGGGCAGGTTCGGCTGGGTAGCCAGCGGCGGAGTCAACGCAGTGCCATCGAAGCGCACGTGATCGCGATGCGGCGCGGCGGGACCCAACGGGAGGGTGGGGCCTCATAGCCATGTACGGGGGCGCTTGTCCCCTCTCCTCCCGTCGCTGCTATCGTCACCGCCGCGCTTGCCTGCTGCCTGCCAACCGTCGCCGTTCCAGGCCTGCGACCGTGACCATGAGTCCCAGACCCAAGGCTGGCGGGAGCTTGTGGCGTATCCCTCGTGCTGTGGGGTGCTGGTGCCCTGGTGTCCTGACCACTTGTCGCGCTCCCTCCCGTTCCCATCCATCACGTAGGCATCATACCCACAGCGTTTCCAGGCGTCAAGGAAAGCACGGCACGTGCCCTCAGGGTTCAGCGCGGGGTCGCTCTTTGGGCCGTTGGCTGCTGGGTGCAGGCGGGTATAGGCATGCCAGATGCTGCTGAACACTCCCCCGAGGGTCCTTTGGAGACGGGAGATCTTGGCCGAGGGTGCTTCCGCAAACTTGTCGAGCTCGACATTGCCCAACCGTTCCTCGCACATGGGACCCCTTCCGATGGGGTCGACGAGGTCGTCGAAGACCCGCTTGGAGCCCCATTCGCGGGGGTTGGCGAGCGGCGGTCTCGAGCTGGCTGTTTGGGGTAGGGCCCGGTTGCCTGGGGCGGGCGGCGGACTGGAGCTGCCTGGCCGGGGGTAACGGTCGCGCCACCCCGGGGGGGGGGGGGGCGACTGCCTGACGCTGCTGCTGGGTCGCTGCTGTTCACGAGCTTGCAAGCAAGTGAGGGGCGCCTCTGCGGGAGGTCGTGTGTCACCATGGGCGGTTGGCTTGCGCTGATCTTATTCCTCGGCTGGCGTCGCTCAGGCGGGCCATCGCTGAGGCGTCTGGCGTCTGATCCGAACGCCCCTAGCGGATCGCCGGGAGGGCTGCCTCCGGCATCTTCGTCTGCTGTTCTGGACGAAAGAAGAGGCGGGGAGCCCTCAGGGCCGACCGTGCCGGCTGGTGTGCCGCCAGGGGGAGGCGCGGGAGTCGGGGGGGCGGCGTCGCCTTTTTCTTCGTCGTAGTCTAACCCTTCTACCTCCGCCTTGACGGTGGGTGCTGGGCTCGTCGGGGAGCAAGCTTCCTCTCCTTGGGGAGAGGGACCTGTCGCTTCGGGGCCTGTCACCAAGGGGATGGGGTCTGCCCGGGGCGCTGACAGCCCCGCGTCACTGCTGGCTGCGCCGCGCATGGGGGCAGCGGTGGCTGGGGGGGGCGTCGCACGCCGATCCCGCTGTGCGCCTGGGATCCGGCTGCAGCCAGGCAATCGTGGAATCTCCCAGAGGCGGGGCGTTGGCTTCGTAAACGCATGGGGCCGAGGGGCCCTGCTCCGCCAAGGTGGTGATGGAGGTGTGGCTGCGAATGTGCTGGAGTCCAGGCTGGCGATGAAGCCGGCGAGGGCGGTGAGGTCGTGGCGGAAGGGGTTCTGCCCCCTGGTGGAAGCAACGCCCCGGCGAAAGGTCGTCCAAGCAAGTTGGTACTTGGGGCTGTGTAGCAGGTGCCCGACTACCCTGGCCGCAGCCCACCTCTTGCCTTCCCAGGTGGCGCCGTCGGGGAGTCCGTCGCCGGGGACCTCGGGGCCGTGCACCTCACGCAGGAAAGGGGCAAGCTGGCGAGCCGACCACGAGGTCTCCAGGTCGCTCGGGGCTGGAATGTTGGCGTCGTAGTCCTTGACAAAGTTCATCGATTTGTCGTCCAGCGTTGGGTGGTAGTCCCACAAATAGGCGACCAGGGTGTGGTGAACGTCCTTCTGCTTGTTGCGCCGTCCGTGCTTGGGAACTCTTCCCTCTTCGAGGGATGGAGCTGCAACGCTCCTGCGACCTACTTTGGGGACCTCCGGAGGACGTAAGTCTGGGGGAAGGGCCAGGATCTCGGCAACCGTGCGCCGTTTCGAGCTGTCCCGAGGTCCGCCATCATTGCTCCCTCCCTCACCCTGCTGCGTGCCCTCTGGTGGGAGGCTGCGGGCGTAGGGGTCGTAGGCATTCGCGTCCGCGAACGCCTGTGTGAGGAGGGTTGCCAGGTCTGGGGCAGTTTCGCTGGAGTCCGCCTGCGCTGTCTGACGTGGGCGGGCTGTCGGCTGCCGCGGGAAGACGTCGCCGGAGTCGCCGTCCATGATGTGGTCCAAGGTTGCGGGGGCGACGTTCCAGATGTACACTAGGCACCTCCGGCAGCACCATGTGGCGTTCCACTTGCGCTGGACCCACGAGAGAAGCCACTGGTCCCAGCTGGGGAGGCCTGTTTTCCCGGGGCCCGAGGCCTCGGGTTCAGCCTTCCAGGGGAAGCAGCCGAGCGCTGGCGCGTCCACCTTCCAAACCAGCAGAGGGCCTGAGGGGGGGGCACGTGTCGCACTTGGCGGAGTAGGAGCCTGATTTGGAGGCGTCGTTGCCGAACCTTCCGCCCGTGATCCTAATGGCTGGGATCGTGGTGTTCGCGGGCCGGGGGGCGTGAGGTCCGGATGGGGTCATGAGGAGGTCGCCCAGACGCCTGGTTTCTCTCTCGGTGGGGTCGCGCCAGTATCCCAGGGGCCCAGGGCAGGGGGGGCGGTTGGAAGGCGTGGGCGACTTGGTCCTTGTCGCGCCCGTTCCGCCACGCTGTGTAGTCGGAGACTTTGTCTGCGACAGTCGCGCCTGCAGGGCTCGGGGTGCGCTGAATGTTGAGATGTGCCACCCAGCAGTTCTCGCATAACCATCTGAGGTTCTTCCAGTCCAGGTATAGGCTTGCGGCCTGTTGCTGGCCAGAAGGTCTCTGACCGAGTCGTCCTCCCAGGTTCCGTCGGTGTGCTTCAGCTTGTAAGTCTGGCAGCGGTCGCAGATGAGGGAAGCTTCCTTCTGGTCGCGATGTAGCCTGTCATCGGTGATGGTGGGTGGGTTTAGCTTCGTGCCTGACGCGGGGGCGGGGGGCGGGGGGGACGATAGGTCGGTTTGGGAGAGGGCTGTGCCCCCCCCCCACCCCCCCCACCACCGACGTACCCGATGGCAGCGTCAGCCCTGTGCTCTCCCAGGCCCGAGTCGGACCCGGCCAGGGAAAGCGCGGAGGGCGCAAATTGAGCACTCGTAGTCTGCGAGAGGGTCGAGGTGCGCAGGGGGGACGATTGCCTCCAAGACAAGCATCGGGGCCTTGAGCTTGAAGTCGACCATCTCCATGTCCCTCCAGGTCTGGGGACACCCTGCCTTTCTGGCTGCGTCATGGTGGTGGGCGTTCGTCACCAGCTTGGAGACTTGTGAGAGTCCATCCTCGATCTTCCCATGCAGGTCGGTAAAGTCATCCACCTTGAGACTCCATGCTGCTGCAAACTTCTGTCGGAACTCTAGGTGGGCGTCTGGCCAGGGTACACATAGGCCAAGCACGGCCTCGATGAGGTCTCCCGCGCCCTCGGCGTTTGCGAAGGGCCAGAGAAAGGTCCTGGGCCCTCTGATCATGAGCATCATGACGACCAGTAGGGCGCGGGCGGTGACTGGCGTCCAAGCCGATGGCCATATCGTAAAGGAAGCCGAAGTGGGACAAGGCTTTCCGGTCGAGTCTGCCTGGGTCCCTGGGGGTGTCCGCCAGGGAGAACTCGTGGGGGTGGAGCCCGGAGACCACGTAGAGGACCACGGCGAACGCAGGCGCCGAGAGGAGGTTGTTCATGGCGTCCAGAATGGAACGCCCCAGGGCTTCCCAGTTGAATTCCGGCTCGAGCGGCGCCTCGACCCTGTCTGCGAAGCTGTTGGCCAGGGACTCGCGGGCGCCCTTTATGGCCGAGTCCATTTCCTTCGTGGCATCGTCTCCGTCGGCGTTGCTGGACCAGGAGACAAGGGTGGTGATCCAGGTCGCGAGGTCGTGGACCGGGTCGAAGTCGGTGTCCGGTTCCAGGAGGAGGCGATTGCCTGGGGTGCGGTTTTTCCTGAACCAAACCCAGAGGTTGGTGAGGCTCCCGTATTTCAGAAAGCACCCGAAGCCTTGACGAGGTGGCGCTTGCGAACATTCGCCCGTCCCCGATCACGATGACGAGCCGGACGGCCCTGGTGATCGCAACGTTGACTCTGTTGGCACCATCGGTGAAGCCCCAGTTGCGGCTCCCGTTGGACCTGGTGGTGAGAGAGATCGCTATGTCAGCCTCGCCACCCTGGCTTGAGTCAATCGTAGCAAGCTTGAGTGTGCCCTTTCTAAGGTGCTGGTGGGCGATGCGCCGAATCCCAGGGGAACCCAGACTGATTCCGGCCCGGTCGCAATCGTGTTGGTCCAAGACCTGCTGCCAGCCGAGGGTGTCGACAGGCCGGTCATCAAGCTCGCTCGACCCAACGCTCGGTGCCGGGGAGCGGCTGCGGTCAATCCTGTTGCCTTCTCCTCCCTTGCGCTTGCCGCCCTTGCTCTTGCCTTGCCCACCGCGGGAATGTCGGATGACGCCTGTGATGTTGTTTGGGCCCTGAGGCCAACCATCCTCCAGGATCGCTGTCTGCAGGTGGTACCCGACGACCAGGCGCGCGGAAATCCCCTGGTCCAGGACGGGTATGAGGGCGCGGACGACGTCCACTGCCAGGGCTGCTTCAGGGAGGTTCGCGTAGCCAGCGTGTATCTTGGACGTGGCTTCCAGGGAGGGGTTGTCAACGAGTAGGAACCGGTGCCTGTCGTTCGAGTCGGCGGAAGTCGGGTGAAGCGGAGCGAGGGGCGTCTCGAGGTCGTCTTTGTCGGACTCCGAGAGTCTGGCCAGTTCGCTCAGCCGTGCGCCGTCCATGGGCCTAATAGCGCGCCAGGGAAGACCGTTGACCAGGGGCCGGTCTGCGAGGGGTGCGAGAAGCCCGCTGGTCATGCAGTTGTTGTAGAAAGCCCAGTTCGGCCAGGCGAGGATCTGCGGGTGCATCCTGTAGCACGCCGCGAGCTGAATGACAGCTGAGTCCTGCTCCCTTAGGGCGTGCAGTAGGCGGTCGAAGATACTGACGCAGAGGCCCAGGTCGGCGGCTAACTTGGAAATGATCGTGGGGGGAAGCTGTTTGGGATCCCCAACCAGCGCCAGGTAGCAGGTAGCCACCGCTGCGCACCAGATTGGCCAGGGACATGGTGGAGTGGAGTTCAGTGGTCTGGCCCGCTTCTGGTTGGGGCATCCACCTAGTGTCTCAGCCGCTTCGTGGGTGGAGACGATCACTTTCGCCCTGTTGGCGAGGGCAGTGCGGAATAGCGTGAAATCTTGCGCGGAACCCTCAGAGAGCTGGAAGCGGCCTGTGGCGTTCTGGTAGTGTCCTTCCGGGGTGAGGCAAATCATCTGTTCGCTGACCTTCTGTTTCCTGGCGAGCCAGACGAACCGGTCAGGGAAGTAGGTGTGGGAGCCCAGTTGGTTCAGACGGTGCGCCGCCGCCGTGGCGAGCGCAGGTTGGTCTGCAGCGGTGTTCGATCCGGCTGCCAGTGCGACTGCTTGCCCGCTCCTGAGCGTGCCCCCCCAGATGTCCAGCGTGGCCGTGGACAGTTTGGTCTTGCCTGTGCCAGGCGGGCCGTGGACGACGGTGCTGTGGTGCGCCACGGTCGCCAGTAGGGCGCGTCTGGCGTTTGGGTTGAGACCGTGTCTGGTTGCACCGACTTCCAGGGTGTCTGTCGAGGGTCTCGTCTTGGCCCTTTGGAGTACATGGCCCACGGCAGAGGTCACCTCGTCGTCGGTGAAGGGGGTCACCTCCAGGGGAGGGGGGCAGGGAAGGAGGGCTTGTCGGACGTGCGTAGGGCCTGAATGTCGGCGTCAGGGACAGGGCCGTTGAGTGTGGCTGACGCTCTGGCCCTCAGGAAATGGCCAACACTGCCTGTCCTCGTGACGTCGTTGGCGGCGGCCTCGTCGTCTCTGGACGCGTTGCGGAAGGCCAGAATGAAGACGATGTTGTTGAGCGGAATCCCGAAGAGCTGCTGGGGGTTTTGGTTCAGGTGGTAGATGTCGTTGGTGGCGTTGGCTTGCCTCCAGTATTGCACCTCGGATGGGGCACGGTCAACCCAGCAGTGGGCTTCGCCTTCTCTGTCCGGGAGTAGGGCCTTTGAGGTGTCTCCATGGAAAGGGCCGTACTTCCCATAGTTGTAGGACACGATGCTCCTGTTAGACGGATATCTGGCGCCCAGTGGGATCCTCAGGTTCTCGCATTCTCGTTGCGGAACGTTGCCTCCCAGGGCAGGCGGCCACTTGATCGTGACCTCTGCGACTTGGTCGACTGTGGGACCTTGAACCGAGACCAGGAAGTTCTTGGCGTCCTGCGACCCTCCTTCTCCTTTCATGCTGATGCGGTACCTGGTCGGCCACTCGAGGAGGAGGAGCTCTTTGCCCTCTCCCGCCCACGGGCTGCGTCCCAGGTCGAAGCGATCCAGTTCGCGGCAGTCACTGTCGTGGTTGAGCTTGGTGATCTGTGCTGTGAGGGCCACGTTGCCTTGCTTCGCGAGGTCGTCCCTGGTCCTGGGGCTTCCGTCGCACGGGGTTTCCAAGGACGCCCGCCCCTCAATCCAGGCGATCGCCTCAGGGCGAGGCCGCGGTCGCGCAGGACGCAGGGCCACTGCGACGGGAGCGGCACGGCATCGTAAAGGTTCCCCAGCGGGACTGTCGGCTGCAGGCGGGCCTGGCTGAGGCTGCTGGGGAGTCCGAAGATCCGCCGGACTTCGTGCGCAGCCGTGAGGGCAGGGGACTCGACCACGATTATGCTGCCAGGGTCGGGGGCGGGGGAGATGTCGTCTCCGTCGTCAAGCCTTACTGACCGGGTGCGTGGCTGGGGCTGCCCACTGCTGGGGGCGAACGCGCTGTCTGGGCTGCTGGGCTGGGCCACGACTGCGTGGGCAGAGTGTCGAGGGGCGAGGTGGCCTTCGCCCTTGCGGTATCTGCGTCGTCGTCGTCGGCAATCCGCGTCTGCCATCGGCATGCCTCGGCGTTGTCCGTGTGGGCGGGACGAATATCATTAGGGTTAAACCGGGTGCCACCAAGTGAAATGAAGTCCACTGGATCGTCGGATAGCGGGTAACTGGTAAGCACGTGGAGGCAGTCCTCTGGGATGGCGAAACCCGGTTGCGTCAGAGCACCGCCCATGACGGTGGGCCTGGGGGGAGCCCATCCGACCCAGGCCTACCTCTGGATGGGACAATTGTGGTCGTAGTTCCAGGTGGTGCCCCAGGTCATCGTCCACAGGTTGCCAGGGGGCGTGAAGGTGCAGGGGTCGGGCCAGCCGCGGGGGAAATTTCTGTCACCTTCGAAGTAGTGGGTCTCGCTGAGAAGGTGGTCGACGTCGTCGCATGGCTTCTGGCATAGCTCGCAATACCATCTCCACCTTCCGCCGAAGTGCGCCAGTCGTAGCCAGGGACAGTACCAGGCCAGAAAAGCCGGCTTCCCGTCTCTTGGCGGGGGCCCATCGTCGGGGCGGGGCAGGCAGGATGCCCGCCGTCTGAGTGGTCCTTGATTGTTCGGCATGTCAGGGTACCAGGGAGCAGCTAACGGCTGCGCTGACTGCGGTATTAGAGGGGGGGGGGGCCCGCGGCGACCTTAGCAGGCAGGCGCGGCGGCGGGGGGGGGGGGGCGGGGGGGGGGGGGGGCGCTCGAGGGCCGAGGCGGCGAGGAGGACAGCGTCGAGGTCGCAGAGGTTGAGGACCAGAGAAGGAAAGCCGTCGGCTAGGGGTGGGGGGCGGGTGGCCCACGCCACGGTCGTTTGCACCGAGCGGTGTCCTTGGCTCTCAGGGCGTCAGCCCAGTAGACACCTAAGGTGGCCGGCCGGTCGGCGGCCTTGTTGAGCCGCCGTCATATGGCCTGGCAAGTAAGAGTCCACCCTCCGTTGGCCGTTTGTCGCAGGGCGTAGTCCATTTGTTTTGCAAGGTGGAGCCTTCTGTAGCGTCCGGTGCCCGCGCCGTGCCGTATGGCGGCGAGATTGTCGCCTACCCGTGCGCATCTAACGGCACTGTCTGTGTGGGGGAGGAGGGCGAGGCCCGCCCTGCACCCCGCAGCCTCGGCCGCCTGCGCGTTGTCGTCACCGGGAAGGGCGACCACCACGGCGGCGACCACCCTGGGGGGCCCGGTGCTTGGGTCGGTTTTCCACAGGAGGGCACCTGCACCAGCGACCTTAGGCCTTTTCCAGGATGCTCCTGGCGCCTCCGTCGAACGAGATTTCGTTGGGCCACTGCGCCGTGTCTGCAGATGGGAAGGGGGAGTCGCTTACGGTGATCTCGTCTCCTCGCTCAATGGGCCGGCTGGCCCACAGGGTGACAGCGTGGGTGTCGCAGGCGCGGCAGTATCTCCTGATCCAGTAGGCAGACGGGTCTGAGTCTGCGCGGGGGCAGGGGGAGCACCCTCGGCCTGGGATCACCCAGGCTGCCCTCGTGTCCGACGCCTGGAGCACTGCGAGCCCGGTCCCCTGAGCGAGTGCTTCGACTCGCGATGGGGAGGCGTCTGACCTCCCCACCGGCGCGGACGGCTTGTCTGTCCATTCGTGGTCTGGCGGCGCCGTTGATGCACTGGCCCAGTCCCACCCTGTGGGTTACATGTGTCGCAGGCCGTGAGCATGGGGGCCCATGCCGACGTCTCTGCTGGTTCAGGGGGGAGGGCCTGACCCTCGTGCCAGTCGGGTACCACGATCCCTTGCAATATGAGCCTAGCTGCCTCTTGGGCAATGAGCGGGGCGAAAGGAGGCCTGATGGAGGAGGCGACAGACGAGCCTTTGGTGCGTCCCGTGGGTGCAGATGGCTCTGGCCAGGGAGCGAGGGTGGTCTGGGGCTCTGGTCTGCGTCCAAGAGAAGGCGAGGGCGGGGCACCAACGCCATGCGTGCTGGGTGGTGGCTTCCCCCAGACCGCATAGCGGGCACACCCCGTAGATGCCGCAGCGACTCGGCACGTCGACATGTCCGAGGACGGTCCTCCGCTCGGTGGCTTCGACGCGCAGCTCGTTGCGTAGCAACTCAGGGTCCAGGAAAGGCCAGGGGTCGGTTTGGCCGGCCCAGGCCCCAAGGCACACGTTGCACCACGCGCAGCCATGGTCGTCGCGTCCGGCGGTGAGCCAGACTCTGTGTGCAGGTCTTCCGCACCTGCATTGGTGTGGGAGGCGATCGGCAACCCCGCGCCTTCTGGCCGAGCCGGGTAGCCCGTTGGCGAGGAAGCGAAGGACGTGATGAGCCTCTGTGAAGGAGGCACAGTGCTGGATAAGAGACCATTCCACCCCGTCTGTCTGTGCCCAGCGTCTGGACTGGCTGGTCACTCGGAACCAGTTCTGCGTGGTATACCCATGGAGCTGGGCCCAGGAGGCGGTGTAGACCACCCTGCCGAAGTAGCGGTTCCGGACCCTGCGCGTTTCCCGCAGCGCGCGGGTCAGGAGTTCGGCGGCCCTGGTATCTGTGAGCACCTTGGAGCCTGGTCTGGTTGGCCCCTGCCGTCGGGCGCCACCTGCGGCCCATCTGCAGAGTTTGTTTCATCTGGTCTTGGCGCGCTTGTGAGCGGGCGAGGGGCCCCATGCGTCCCCTATGGCATGCGCTCTGGCTGCGATGGCCTGGGCGGTGGCCACGGGACACTCGGGGCAACCAGGTACCTGAAACAAGATGCCGAGGCCTGTGAGGACGTGGTCTGGGATCCAGGAAGCGCCCGCGAGCCCGAGGGCCACTCGCAGCTGTGCCCGGAGGGCACGCTCGCGCAGCACGTCTGGCGCCATGTAGCGCGCGGGGCAGGGGGGCCGGCGAGATGAGGCATGAGTTCCAAGCGAGGGTGGTGCGCGAGGGGGACACGCCTGCAATGTGCAGGGCTCTGGCACGGTCGCGTATCGTGGGAAGCGGCTTGCCCCGGGTGCCGGACACGAGTGCTTCGCGCTGCCCTCGGGAGGGCAGTGCGAAGCACTCTGGGGGAGGGATTCCCCTTCGGCAGCTCTGGAGACCACGATGGCGCCGAGGTGCGGCCACTGGCCCGTCACTGAGGGTGAAGTCCATGATCGACCTCCACCACTCGTGGTTGCTCGCGGGCACCAGGGCGGTTTTGAAGCTGCAGGAGCAGAGGGCATGCCAGAGGCGGCATGCAGCTGCTGAGGTTGGGCCGAGCGAGTCGAGAATGAGGGCCTGGATGAGGGCAGGGGGCAAGCCCATGATGTAGATGTCGTTGTCCCGACTTTCCAGGGTGACGGGCACTTCAGCCAGGGCGAGAGTGACGCGGCTGTCGAAGGGCATGTGGACACCTCTGCATCTGTGGGTTTCGACCTGGAGGCCCGCCACCTTGGCGAGCCAGGGGAAGGCGATGGCCGCGCGTAACGCCTGGCCCGTGGACGAGAGTAGAGCCGCAAGGTCATCGACGCGTGCGGGGCTGGCGCCTCCGGTAATGTTGGCGACGGCTTCCATGAGCGGGCCATGGCCCATGCACCAGAGAAGCGGGGGGGCCGTGCCGCCCATGCCGTTTGAGCGGAGCAGGCGCCTTACTTTGCTCCTGTTCTTGCCCTTGCAGGTTTGGGCGTGCCGCTCGCTTAGGAGAGCGCCCAGGGCGTGTCGGAGCCAGGGGGGGAACTGCCACTTTTGCAGCAGGTCACCGGCCCACTGGAGAGAGATTCTCTCGAAGGCCTTGTTCTGGTCACAGAAGATGACAGCAGGGCCCGGGGCGGCGCCCAGGCGCGTTTCGGCGGCTAGAAGGTAGCGTTGGACTGCGTCGTGGCGGCTTCCCAGAAGCTCGCGCCAGCAGCGGCCAGGTCCAGGGCCAGCGGAGGTGTCATGGCTCAGGTGTCTGGACACGGCGGCGATGTTGGGGCCACATTGACATCCCTTTCTGGCGGCCTGGTGTTGGCTGGGTCTCGGCTCGACTGCGGGGCCGAGGTAGTCGGCGATGGTGGCTCCGTGCAGCCTGCGCATGCATGTCGGTAGTTTCAGCGGGCGCATGTCGTTGGGCTTCTCGGCCGCTGCCTTCTTTCCAATCCGCGCCAGAAGATCGACGGACCTGCCGATGACAGTGTCGACGGGGTGCGGGTTGATGCCCGCCGCGTACCAGGCTTGTCCGAGTAGGCAGGCGACGAAGCGGGCGCCGGGGTGGTAAACCTCGCAAGGTCCCGCGTCCACGCCTGGCGCGCTGCCGCTGGGCTCGAGGACCAGGGAAGCGATCTTCCCCCACGGGGGCTGGGGGCGGGCGGCGTGGCTCCCTTGTTCCTTTCCCTGGAAGTAGCAGCGTAGGATGCGGGCCCCGGAGGGGGGCAGGGGAGGGGCGGTCTGCCAGATGTGAACGCGACTCCCCCAGAGAACTTCATCGACGCGGTCTGGCTTTTCGTGCCAGCCTCCTTGTTCGTCGCGTACACCGGGGATGGCGTGCGTCTTGACGTATATCTCACGTCCTGTTCTGTCGTGCGCGGCCAGGGTGGGACGGTCCGCAGATGGGACCCTTTGGGCCGGGGTCAGCCTCGAGGCCCGTCTCTGGGCCAAGTCGCTGTCCCACTTGCGTAGCCAGCCTGCGGCTTGCTATGGTGTGAGATCGCAACCGCTCCACCAGTACTCTGTGAGCCATGCAGCGAGGGGGCCCGCTGGTCTGGCGCTGTGCTCCGCGCGGGAGGCTGCGGCCAGAAGAGCACCTGGTGAGCGGGTGGTTTTGCTGCGTCGCCACTTCCCCACCAGTCCTGGATAGCTGCAGACAGCGCGTGTCGCCTCAGTATCAGCAGGGCGGGTAGGAATGGAATCGTAATGTCGTCCGTGCCGGCGGCCTGGGGCTGCGGGGGCTCGTGGTTGACCTCGACGTCCCCGTCGTCGTTGTCGAAGTGCCGGCCGGGGAGGTTACAGGGTGCCGCTGGCCTGACCCAGTCGCTTGGTTGGAGCAGCCTGGTGAGGTCGGCGTCCGGGATGTTGAACATACCTTCGAGGTAGAAGAATACCTGTCTAAGTTCCGCCTCGGCTTCTGGGGGAAGCGAGCGAAGGTCGCGCGCCCGAATGACGT